TAAATGCATTCCCCGAAGAAATAAGTGTTTCGACCTTGTTCAGCAATGGGAAGGGGTGTTAGCAAGCCATTTACGTACTCAGCTAAACACGAAGTCTCTTAATAATTCACAGAAACCTCTAAATCTAAGTCAGACGATTATGCTTTCTAAAAAAATAAAAAAATCAGATGCCCCAAATAGAGGGTAACTTCGATGTCCACTCCAACATACGAACATTGTTTCCAATAGCATTATTTATGAATATATCCTGAAACGTTAAGTGCATTTATCAAAAGGGTTAAGCCCTCTCGATCTACCATATTGGGATAAACGGCATTTTACTTTTGAAAAATGATAGGTAGATAAATAAGTCTATATCTACACAATTATTTCTCCTGTCTTCTTCAACTTGGTGCTATCATTTAAAAGGTGGCTGTCGTTTACAGAATCTGTGAGGCAACTTGGTAATATATCCTACCACAAAGCTGATATGGCTCTGACTGTCAGTACGATTGAAGGCAATATCATTATAACAGCAATGAAAGCCACAGAATGTCATGGCTCTTTTAGTCTCAAATGTCCGTACGAAACTATTATGGAGGATTATCTTTTAGATGGACGGTTCCATCTACCTCAACAAATATTTTCCCTATTTCTGAGAGGTTTTCTGCATTTGTATTAATCCTTGCGAATAAACACCATGACAATTATATGTGGTCATCCACACTCTATTTAGTATAAACTAAATCATTGGCGTTGCACGCTTGCGGATTTAAAGTAAATACGTTACGTTCCAGCAGCCCTAAACAAAGCACAATCAATCTGACTTAGTGTAATAATGCGTAAACGAGAGCACAAGCGATGTGGAACCATGGCCTAAGGCGAGATGAGATCTTGAGCAGGCATGCGACAGCAGACGAAGCTGACAGCGCGATGCACGCGTAAAAGTACACAGCCAACCAGCGTGTTCTGTGTCTTTGAGCACGTGTATAAGCCACCGAATTCCGCTAAGTGTCGAAACTCCCTTTTCGACCTCCCAATAAGAACACAAGCCAGTGGCCTAAGGGAAAGATTAGGGATTATTTTGGACGGCGGCAGGACGGGTTTGAGTTCGGACAGGATCGGGAACAGAGAGGAGATCCTTTGGCGGGGACTGAATGGTCAAAATATGGTCATTGGTTGACCCGGCAAACGAGAAAGGTGATGACGTGTGGAGGCATCGGGGAGATCCTTTGGCGGGGACTGAATGGCCTAAATATGGTCATTGGTTGACCCGGCAAGCGAGAACGGTGATGACGTGTGGAGGCATCAGGGAGGCGTTCTCAGGTCCAAGGTGTCGGGGCTTCAATTGTCCTCGGTATTTATGGGGCCTCAAGTCGATGCGGGTAGGGCAAGAATAAGTGTGGACAATGAAGTGTTGGATGACACAGGGGTTTTTATTTGCGTAATTAAAATATATTAGATCCATAAACTGGTGTCGGTTTGCACGTGACTGACAATCATTCGTACATTTCGACGGCTTTCTTGAGTTATACCATCTACTGTGCTAAACTTGTTGCATGGTGGCGACTTTGAATAGTTTTCTTTCCAACGCCAAGCTGGGTTAAATGGTCTCTTTCCGTAACATGCTTTTTTCCACAGCATGTTACCCAATCTTAACTCAAGCGAATCTTTCCTAATAAATGCACGACTTTCTCCGTATCTCATTTATTTGGTAGCAGATAACATCTCACAAACGTACAATCATTTCAATGGTAGACCTCAGTCAGAAAGTCACTGAAGTTTGACAGGTTTTAAGTCGGTGAAATTGTCTTTCATATGCCATCGTAGTTTTACGCTTTTCAACGTTTCTTATAATGTATGCAGCATCATACACATTCACAGTCATATGTTAAGGTCCTAGCTGATACGTGCACAGCAATGCAACTGCAGAGCGGACTCAAAAGTATTCGAGCATTAGACCATATTAAATCACACAGTCATGCAGTCTCTTTGAGTATGCAGTTTGTAGACGCAGCAGCGCGTACTTGAAGCGCTATTGTAATTATTCTATCCATTGAATATACTCGAGCTTATACGTGTGAGAATAAACGACGATCACGTTTATTCTGCCAATTGGCCAAAGACAGACCGTAATAATAGGGGGCGTGCGTCACAATTGTGAGATCATTGAAATGCTTAGAATTCTACTAACCATGTTCAGAAAGCGGTCATGGATAATTGAGACAGAAAATA